AAAAGGTGGAGGAGAAGTTTCCCTTCAGGCGCCACAGAAACCGCTCCACCGACGGCAGCCCCCGAGGGCTCCGCGTTGAGCTGCATGCAGCAGCAGGCTTGCATGCAGCAGCAGCAGCAGCAGCAGCAGCAGCAGCAGCAGAACCTCCCACCCCTCCTGCTGCTGCACCTGCTGCTGCTGCTTCTGCTGGTGACCGCCTGCAGACAGGGCCATACAGAGGCACAGACCCCGCTGCCTCCCCAGCGACCCCCTGCTGCTGCTGCTGCTGCTGCTGTTGCTGCTGTTGCTGCTGCCAGCGGCTTGCTTTTGCTCGCCAGCCGCTCTCCGTTCCGTCTGCTGCAGCATCATCTATCATCAGGGGCCCCCCACTGGTACCCGCCTGGGGGCCCCCGGCCTCGGGCCCTTCACAGAGGGCCCCCAAGGGGCCCCCTGACGACGCTTCCGGCTTCACATCCTCCCACCGAACCCTAGAAGAACCAAAAGGGAACAGTGACGGCCTGCATGCAGGGGCCCCCTCGGTGCCTCCACTGGCCGTGGGGGGCCCCCAGGGGCAGGGCCCTCGGGGGGGGGCCCTCCGAGCCCACGGGGGCCCCTCATGGGGCCCCTCAGGGGCCCCCGTGGGGCCCCCCGCAGCGCAGACAGATGTCGCTTCTGCGTCATGCACAGCAGGAGATACAACAGCATCAGCAGTAGGAAGCGGTGAATGCTGAGGTGTACATACACTCGAAGGGGGGCAGACCCCTGGGCAGAGATCCGGGGCCCCCAGTTCATGTTCCTTAGAAAAATCTTTTATAATAAAATGACGTCTACACCAGCTGCTGCATTCATGAGATAAAGGCCTCGTCTCAGGTGTACGTACACCTGAAACGGGGTGCCCGCCAGAAGCCAAACCGCCAGGGCGATGCAAGTAGCTGCCCTCCGACATAGAGCCCAAAACTGGAATGGGGGGGCCCCCCGGGGGGCCCCCATGGGGGCCCCCAACTGAGACACTCCCCTGGGGGCCCCTGAGGGGCCCCCCTACATCTGGCGAGATATCGCGGCTGAAGGGAGTTGCAGAGGAGCCGCAGGAACGGCTCAGGTCCGAAGAGATGGGGTGGCTGTCCCGCTTGTTTTTGCCTGAACCTGTCGGGCTACTGTTTGCAGGAGAAACTGCTGCTGCTGCTGGTGTTGCTGCAGCAGAAGCAGAAGCAGAAGCAGAGGCTGAGGCGTTGGAGATGTGGCTTACTGTGGGGTTGAGCCCCGTGACGAGCAGCGCCTCTGCCCACTGCTTGAAGGATCTATACGCCGCAGCCAGGCGGGAGGAGGAGGAAGGGGGATGAGAGGCGGCCTGCTGCTGCCGCGGACTGCTGCTGCTGCTACTGCTGCTGCTGCTGCTGCTGCTGCTGCTGCCGGACTCTGCAGTGTGCAGCGCGAACGCGTTGCGGGGGCCGCCAATGAAACCCTCAGAGGGCCTCTCGAGGCTCCCCCCAGCAGACCTCCACATGGCAGCAGACGAGAAGCGGGCTGGGGGCAGGCAGACGTGCAGAAGCAGCTGCTGCAGCAGCTGCAGCTGCTGCTGCCGCTGCCTCCGCTGCTGCGGTGCTGCTGCAACGCTGCTGCAGTGGAGGCAGCAGCAGAAGGAGAAGGGGGAGGAAGGGAAGGAGAACGGCTATTGAATCATCGCTGCGGCTCGGGAGCGAAGGGTTGCTGCAGTGACACAGCAAGTAGGAGGCGGGAGGCGGCTCTACGTACACCCGGCGGTGTGTGGTGGGCAGCAGAAAGACCGCGAGACAAACACAAAACAATCGCCAAATTTGGAGTGTATATACACCTCAAGTTGCACCCGTCGCTTCGTAAATTTAATTAACAAGAGCTGCCGATACACCCCGGCGTCGTTTGTCCCATTACTTATGGCGTCTGTCTTCGTATGAAATGAAATGTTTTTGCTTGTTTCCCTTTTCCTCTGTGTTTTTGTGTTTTTTCTTTCTGTTTAAGGGTTTATTTAATATATATTTAATGCTCGTTTCGGCCTCAAATCGGCAGCAAGGCCCCGACGGGCACTGGACAGCCTCCCTCGCACAGGGGCGTCGTCAGCTGCCTGTACACCCCGGCGGGAATATCTGCCTTCTTGGTAGAATATAAAGTTGAATACTTCACTTAAATATTCTTTTTAAATTGCAGTAACAAAGGATAAACCACAAACACGCCTGAAGGCAGCCCCCAGCCTCTGCCTACCGCCGCCCAGCTCGAGAGACGCGGAGTCGGCAGCAGCAGTTGCAGCTGCAGCAGTAGCAGTAGCAGCAGCAGCAGCAGCAGCTGTGAGCGAAATATATGATTGTTTCAATACCCCGAAAACTTCCTTTTGTTTTGTTTTTATTTAATTTAAATACAATCCGTTGATTAACCCCTGGGCGTCTGGGCTCTCACTCCGTCGCCTCACGGCTACTGCCCGTCGTGCACGGGCGTGGTGTTGTTGTGTGCCTGGTGAGCAGGCAGAGAAAGTTCTTATAAATAGCTGTAAATACACCCGAATTTAATTAATTATTAAAAGAAAATGTAAACTAAATACAAACAGAAACAGCCCCGCTTTCTGTGGAGATCAGAAAGAGTCGCCTAGTAGTGCCGATGCTGATTCAGTAGTATCGGCAGGGGATGCAGGCTGAGTAGACCCAAGCGCCAGAGCTTACACGTATACTTGAATATATTTTTATATTTTTATTTATATTCACAATTATATTTCTGTTTATATATATATATTTAACTTTATACTTGTGTCCACATTCATGCCGCATTTATGCTCACTTTGCTCTTCATACTTCTTATTCATATTCATATTCATATTCATATTCATATTCATATTCATATTTATATTCATATTCATGTTTATATTCTCACTCAGACTCATATTCATATTCTTATTCTTATTCTTATTCGTATTTATATTCATATTGATATTCGTAGTTATATTCTTATTCATATTCTTCATATTTCTATTCTTTTATTTCGGTCCTCTTGAAACAATTTCTGTTTGTTTCCCCGCTGCAGGAGGCAGCGAGCGGAGGCAGTCGTTCCGAGTTGCATATATATATATATATATATATATATATATATATATATATATATATATATATATATATAT